TACGTGTGTTAATGTAGTACACGTGACTAATGTTAAGATTTTTAACACAAATTAAGTAAAGAAAGTGGGTTCAAATGACTTATCTGCGTAGACTTTCAGTAATTCTTTATTTATTCCCAGGTCAGTGAAGCCGGTGTCCACAGGCCTCATGTTGCTGGGATCCACGGCAGGAGCAACGATGGAGCTTACTCTCTTGTTTTGGCAGGAGGCTATGAAGATGATGTGGTATGATGTTTTCTAAATATTTATTTACTTTGTTTACAGTTTAAAATTAACATGTCACGTGTTGCTATGGGAAAAAAGTTTTTCAATTAAAAGGAGTAGTTAGAAGAAAGAAAGTCAACCCTGCCTCTCAAATCATTTTTTTAATACCAAATTTGATTTCCAATTTTTGGGGTTTTTTGTTTTTTCATACAAATAACACACAATATCTTAAACTGGCTTTTATTTAAATAATTCCTTCTGCAAGTTTACCTTAATTTACAATTGAAAAAAATAAGCTGTAAAACACCATGGTATAATTAAAGAGTTTTTGATCTGAAAATAAAGTATTTATGTGAAGAGAATAATTCTAAATGATTTTTGACTTCAATGTTTTTGCTATCTTTTGATAAAGGATGATGGCAATGAGTTCACCTATACTGGCTCAGGGGGGCGAGATCTTTCTGGGAACAAGAGGACAGCTGAGCAGTCATGTGACCAGACTCTGACCCACATGAACCGGTAGAGTGTTCAGAAGAAAATGTGCAATACAAAACACAGTGTCTGGTTCCTTAAATTTACATAATTTTTATGGCTCATTAGGGCTTTGGCTCTCAATTGCAATGTCCCTGTGAACGAGAAAAATGGAGCAGAGTCAAAGAACTGGAAGCAAGGCAAACCGGTCAGGGTTGTGCGCAGCTGCAAAGGACGCAAGCACAGCAAATTCTGCCCTGAGGAAGGAAACCGGTATGACGGGATTTACAAGGTAAGAGAAGAAGGTAGATGGGGGTGAGGTGACAGTGACAGTTTGTAGGACCAAACTTTGACCCTGAGCATCAGTTTATGATTTTCTTTGCATCTTCTACTTTGTACAGGTGGTGAAGTACTGGCCAGACAAAGGCAAGTCTGGTTTTCTGGTGTGGCGCTACCTGCTGAAGCGCGATGATGATGAGCCTGCACCATGGACCAGAGAGGGGAAGGAGCGTATAAAGAAACTTGGCCTGGTCATGCAGGTGAGGGGCTTAGCAGTATGCTTTGCATCAGAAAATTAACATCGTAACGATATACCATTTGATTCTCATTTGCTTGATTATATCAGGCAAATGATATAATCATTTGCTTAATTATATCAAGCAAATTATATAATCATTTGCTGATTATATCAAGCAAATGATTATAGGTTCTGTAAACTTATTATCAGTTCAGTAAACTAACTGTGATGGCTGCTGTTTCAGTATCCTGCCGGTTATCAAAAGGAGAAGGAGAACAAAAATGAAGTGGAGGAGGAAGAGACGCCCAATAAGGCGAAGAGGAAGAGAAAATTCCAGGGCAAGTTCTCTATGGCTTTAGCTGGTTGGATTGTGCACCTTTTGCTTTTGTTTCTTTGTTTTTCACTTCTGGAATTTGCAGATAGGAAATCCCTGTTTTGACAGAGATGATCACATTCTCTGAGAAGAGCTGATGGATTATTTCAAAAATATTAAATACTTAGACAAATAAATGGGTAGAAATAAATCTGACTTGTTTTCTCCAGAATCCTCTAAGACCTCGCCTGCTAAGACTTCCAAGAAGATCAAAGTGGAAGTTTACAAGCTTTCCCAAGAGCAGAAATCCCTCATTAAAAATGACCAGCCAAACAAGAAGCTGTGGGATGAAGCTATGGAGTCACTATCTCTTGGACCGGTAACGTGGAACTTTATAGAGTATCCATTGTCATATCTCTGCACATTCACTTACAGATCTACATATGCATTTCCCTCATTGAAACGGGGTACCGGATATGTTTCTGTTAACTAGGTTAACAGAAACATCTAGTGCTGAACTGGTGCTTGGTTTACACCTGTAATATCTCTAGTCATATTAGCAGCTCTGTCTCAGCCTCAGATGTTTGCTGGGTCAGAAGAAATCAGTCTTCATCAGGTGGTCTCACTGAGCCCGATAACTATTAAAATCTCCAGTTAATATTGCTTTGAACTTTCCCAGTATATTTTAAAACAACTGAAACAATCAGCTTTCAGTAACATGGATTGGAATAATGGAATCATATCTGTAGGTTCCTGCTATATATTTTTTTATTAATCCAGATCTCACACTGAATGCATGTTGATTCTCTGCAGAGACGATTGTAAAGCTGAAATGCATTAATCATTGCGGTACTGGTGAAAACACTTAACCATTTGCTTTCATGAATCCATCTGACATTTTGAATCTAGTCTGTCTGCTAGCTGTGTTTTGGTAAGCTTATAGGATTGAATTAGATCATAAAAGCTGATGCCAATGACGTCTTCTTGTAAAAATCTGAAGGCTGAATGAATGAAACCCAGTTTTCACCTCAGAAGAGACTTTTGGTTAAAAGCAAAGTGAATACTTTACTGAAAAGGTTTTCTTTTGTCATCTGACATCTTGTTTATATTTTGTTTTTTCCTGCAGAAATTTCTGACCAAGGTTGAAGAGGTTTTCCTTTGCATTTGCTGCCAAGAAGTGGTCTTTCAGCCTATAACTACAGAGTGCCAACACAATGTTTGCAAGGTGAGGACCCAGAAATCTTCGATATTAACTTCACATTTGATTGATGGTTCTGTCTCATTTGTAGCCTCTAAAGTGTGTATGTGTATTAAACTCTCTTTACTCTGATGTTCCTGAGTAAAATCCAGAACCAATTGTTTTCAGACTTGCCTGATTAGAAGGGCATGGAGCCTTCACTCTCTCCTGCTTTTGTTTTTAGACACTGACAATGTGATTGGTTGGCACATTTTAATTAAATTTTTTTTTAATTATTTGTATTTTAATCTGGCAAAAGATAATCTTCATAAAATGCTTGGTTACAAATCAATATCAATGTTTTTGTTTGTAGGAATGCCTCCAGCGGTCTTTCAGGGCAGAAGTTTACACCTGCCCTGCCTGCAGACACGACCTGGGCAAAAACTACTCCATGTCTGTCAACAAAGATCTGCAGGACATTCTAAGTCAGCTTTTCCCAGGCTACAGCAATGGGCGATGATCATAACTCCAGTCTACTCAGCCCTCAAAGAAGCGCAATGAAATCTGTACGGAGGAATTTCCAGTTTGAGGCAATAAAGAGTCCGCTTCTCTTAATATATTTTCTATGAATATAAAGCTGCAGTGTTTGTGGGCTAAAATACAACCATTTTTACTGTTGAGCTGTTATGTTTGACTGATATTCATTGAGAATTCATTTAGAACTGGTTGTACCGTTACCCTTTAATGGCAATTAATACTCCATATTTTGCTTAGCTACTGCTAATCCTTATTTAAATTTAACCTATCTTTTCCCCCAAATTCCTTTGTTTTGCACTCATTGAAGAAATATTTGGTCAAAAGAGGTAATCTGCTTCCCAACATCATCTAAAGATCCTATTCTCTAAGGCTATTAGTAGGTATTTGATGTGTATTGGTTTTCTTGTTAAATTAGTTGTGATCGGTTATGTTTATTGAGCTCCTATGAAACATTCAGACATTTGATGATTTCACTTCTTGAGTCCTGACACAATCATTTCATGACAATGCATTGATGTGATTAATTAACTAAGAAGTTAGATTTGTAATGGCTCATTAAAATGAGAACAAAACCAACCTTTTTTTTTTAAAGGACTTGAGTAAGAGGAGAGTAGTGTCTTATCTGTAAGCTGTGTCATCAAATGTCAACATGTACTGTTCACCCGAAATTGTCAAACAGAATTTTTTTTTTTTAGAATTGTATATTCACTTTCTGAAATTGATTACAATTTAAGAAAAAAATAGCTTGAAAATATATGTATTTTTTCTTTTGACAGATTTTTTTTTTTAGGTTACTCTTTTCATGGTTCACTTTAAATAGTCCAAACATATGGTTATGCTTAAAAGAGTGTAAAGTAGATATCCCATCTATCTAGCTCTCTAGACTTCATCCTTAACACTCAAACCTACTTCAGCCTGGAGACTTGATTTGAATTTTTTTAAAGTTTAAAATGCATACATGTTTTCCTTGTCATGTAATTTGAAGGTTTAGTTTTGTGTCTTCCAAGTGGTCATCTATAAAATTTCATTCCATTGTAAAAACAAGAAATGCTTGTATTTTAAAGTTAAGTACATTTAATATTTGATGCTGGCTGTGACAACCGCTTTTGTCCGTTATGTTTTTCTGTTTGGTCAAACTCTCTAGCAATGTGCAAATTGTCCTGAATGCAAGCATTTCTTGTGCCAAAATATCTGCAAATGCTGGGAAATGTATATTTTTCTGAAATTGTATAAAAAATTTTTTAGTCCGTTTTAGAATTCATGCGTAGTTTTAGCATTCGCTGCACGTTTGTTGCAGAAATTGTCATTGTTCAATAATAAATTTTTTTAAAAGATTTAAACTGAATATAGATATTTTTATTAGTACTGTAATAATCGACTGAACATGTCTATTACATTTTACCTTCGAAGTAATTGTTGGTTTAAAAAAATTCTAGCCTTAAATTTCTACTTGGCTAGCCCAAAATTATAGGCGAAATCATTCACGGTTTTGTAAAACCTTTTAAGTTCAATAAAGAATTAAGAAAATGTTTTTTATGCGTTTCAGGACTATATATTTGTGTGTATTGCCATGACTCCAGAGCGCCGCTAACCCGTGTAAGAGAATACGTGCGTGGCGTCTGGTTGGTAGGTTACAACCCTCTGATGACGAATATTACTAGGCGGAGGATTTGAGTCGCTGTTTACACTGTCACTCATGTGATCAACCAATGAGATTACAGAAATTCTATGAGTCTCTGTCCTCAACGTCACTCCACCAATCAGAAGCCATTATTGTTAGGGCCCAAACCCACAAACAAGCTCAGCCACAGCTGCTTGCTAAAGCTAAAAGAAAATCGATAAACCAAACGAAACCAATTCGTTTGAACCAAACAGAGGGCAATAATCTTCTGCAGGAGGTAATGTTTCCGAAGCGTATTTCACTAAAATATAAAGTACCCAGACTTTGTAGTTTGACTGTGCTGTGGGTTGTCGTCGCGACGTTTTGTTTGTTTTTTTTTCGAATTGCAGATATAGTAGCTGTTAGCAATAAGCTAGCTAATTTTATTACAGCTGTACTTACTATATTCGCAGTTTTGTGCATGTGTGCGTTTTTAAACGTTTTCCTGTTAAAAAGATGGAAGGGTAGCCTTAGTTTTGTTCATTGCAGTTGCCTAGTGTGGCAATATTTTAGCCGCTGTCGTTTTGAATAGAATGCTAGTGGTATCAGCTGAGCAGCGCTAGCAGCAGTAACGGCATTGTAACAATAATTCACTTTGTTAATGCCACATGAGACTTTTTATTTGAATGAAGCTGATAATCTCTAACGAGCTCAAGAATAAACGTGTTTAACGAGTGTTTGCATTTAGGACCATTTTAAGGAAGTAAACTGGATACAACATGGAAGTTTCGTGCCCAAATGGAGTTAAAGGTACCATTTAGGCCCCTTCCTGTTGTGGTTTTGAACGGCAGGAGTTCTTCTATGCTCTTATCCAGTAAATGTTTCTTTGTGCGTTATTAAACGTGACTTAATTTAAAGAATTTAGAAAACGGTCGTTTAATCTGTGACAAGTAATTTCCAAAAGCAATCTGTAGATGTTTTTGGCGAGTTGGTGGATAGCATGTTTTTCTTTATAAAGTGTAGAAAGGAGTGTTTTAACTCTTCAGCTTTTTGAAATCTAATGAGGAATGCTTCTCCATTTTCTGATGCAAATACCTTTGAAGTTGTAAGCCCCATTTGCGTGAGGAAGTCACTCTGCCCTACATATAAATGTCGCGGTTGTTGCGACATTTATATTAAAAGTGAAAACATTTTGTTGCTATTACAATGTAACATGTTTCTTACTTTACTGTAATAAGGAGCCAAAGTGGGACTTTTAAAATAATTTTAATGTTGTAAAGTTGACTACTCTGGGGTTTCACTTTAAATAGACGTAATTTAATACATGCAAATATATTTGCTAGTGAAAGTCCTATGTAGATGCAGTGTTCTTAAAGAGGCAGACCGGCTTTTCAACAATTGTTGAATTATCATAAAATATCTACTTGCACTGCAGAATGTACGTTTTTATACAATTTCCAGAAATAAATGTCTAATATTTACACATTGTATGCATCAGATTCGGATATGTAAAACATGTTTTCTCAGTTGTTTTCTGTAATGCTCTCCCGAGGGATCATACATTTTTTGCTCCCCCTGCATTAAAATATCAATGATAATCTGATAATATTTAGTAATTTATCTGTACAAGAGAGACTTAGACTTAGACTTGACTTTATTGATCCCTTGGGAAGACTCCCTCAGGAAATTATAGTTACCAGCAGCTCACAGGCAAAAATGTGGCACACAGTAAGCATACACAAAAGAATACAAAAAAATACAAATTAAATACAAAACAAAGAATATAAATACAACACAAAAGGAAATTATAGCAATTTGGTGGATAGATTGACCAGTGATATGGTATTGCACTGTATGGTTTGGCCTGATAAATATGGAGTTCACATTTGTAGAAAAACTACTCCTTCTTCCCTCTGTCCTGTGTCGCCTCCGACCCCCCAGTGAGGAGTTGTACAGTCTGAAGGCGTGGGGGACAAAGGAATTCTTGAATCTATTGGTCCGGCACTTGGGAAGCAGCAGTCTGTCACTGAACAGGCTCCTCTGGCTGCTGATGACGGCGTGTAGAGGGTGGCTGCTATCGTCCATGATGTCCAGCAGTTTGTTCAGTGTCCTCGCCTCTGCCACCGTCACCAGAGAGTCCAGCTTCATGCCGACCACAGAGCCGGCACGCCTGATCAGTTTGTCCAGTCTGGACGTGTCCTTCTTGGATGTGCTGCCTCCCCAGCACACCACGGTGTAGAAGAGGACACTGGCGATCACTGACTGGTAGAACATCCACAGCAGTTTGCTGCAGATGTTAAAGGACCGCAGTCTCCTCAGGAAGTACATCCTGCTCTGCACCTTCCCGTACAGGTGGCTGGTGTGTTTTGACCAATCCAGTTTACTGTCCAGCCACAGCCCGAGGTACTTGTAGGAGCCCACGACCTCAACCTCCGTTCCTTCTAGTACGACTGGTCTCGGCATTGGTCTGGACCTCCCAAAGTCTATAACCAGCTCCTTCGTCTTAGAGGTGTTGAGTTCCAGGTGGTTTGTGTGGCACCAGAGAGCAAAGTCCCTCACCAGACAGCGATATTCCTCAGCTGTTCTCTGACCTGGTCTGTGGTGATGTGGGGTGGAGGTTGTGCTGAGGTGTGTGGGGGGGTTGTCAGTGTTTTGTTGTCTGTGGGGAGGTGTGTGGTAAGGAGCAGAGGTGGCTGCAGTGAGAGAGGGGGTACAGACTCGTTGAACCTGTTGAAGAAGTTGTTCAGTTCGTTTGCCCTCTCCATTGTTCCCCCAACGACTCTGGTCTTTGTGTTGAGGCCAGTGATGGTCCTCACACCTTCGCAATGATACATCCGACTATGGCTGTGTCATCAGCATACTTCTGTATGTGACACAGCTCCGAGTTGTAGTGGAAGTCAGAGGAGTACAGGGTGAAGAGAAGAGGGGCCAGCACTGTGCCCTGAGGGGCTCCTGTGCTGCTGACCACAGTGTCAGACACGGTGTCCTTTAGCCTGACATACTGCGGCCTGTTGGTGAGGTAACTATGGATCCAGGTGACCAGGTGCTGGTCCACTCCCATGCTGTTTAGTTTGTCCTGGAGCAGAAGGGGCTGGATTGTATTAAAGGCACTGGAGAAGTCCAAGAAAAGGATCCTCACTGTGCCACTGCCCTTATCCAGGTGGGAGTGGGCCCGGTGCAGCATGTAGAGGATGGCATCCTCCACACCAACATCTGCCTGGTAGGCGAATTGCAGGAGGTCCTGAGCATGTTCCACCTGAGGTCTGAGGAGGCCGAGGAAGAGCCGCTCCAACGTCTTCATCAGGTGTGAAGTGAGTGCCACGGGCCGAAAGTCATTCAGCTCGCTGGGCCTGTTCTTCTTGGGCACTGGGACGATGCAGGATGTCTTCCAGAGGGTGGGCACTTCCCTTAGCTGCAGGCTGAGGTTGAAGATCCGCTGTAGTGGCTCTCCCAGTTCAGCAGCGCAGGTCTTCAGCAGCCTTGGACACACCTGGTCCGGCCCTGCTGCTTTCCTGGGCTTGAGCTTCCTCAGCTGTTCTCTGACCTGGTCTGTGGTGATGTGGGGTGGAGGTTGTGCTGAGGTGTGTGGGGGGGTTGTCAGTGTTTTGTTGTCTGTGGGGAGGTGTGTGGTAAGGAGTAGAGGTGGCTGCAGTGAGAGAGGGGGTTGAGGGGGCACAGACTCGTTGAACCTGTTGAAGAAGTTGTTCAGTTCGTTTGCCCTCTCCATTGTTCCCTCAACGACTCTGGTCTTTGTGTTGAGGCCAGTGATGGTCCTCACACCTTCCCAGACCTCCCTCATGTTGTTCTCTCTCAGCTTCTGCTCCACCTTTCTCCTGTAGCTGTCTTTTGCTTCCCTCACACACTGCTTCACCTCCTGCTGTGCTGCCTTCATGGCCTCGCTGTCTCCTCTCCTGAAGGCAACCTTCTTCTTGTTGAGGACAGTTTTGACTTCCCGCGTTACCCAAGGCTTGTTATTAGGGTAACAGCGGACAGTCTTAGCAGGGGATACCACATCTGCGCAGAAGTTCAGATAGTCCGTCAGGCAGTGTGTCAGCACCTCTATGTCCTCGCCATGCGGGCTGAACAGTGCATCCCAGTCTGTGGTGTTATAACAGTCTCTCAGAGCACTCTCCATCTCAGGGGACCACCTCCTGATGGAGCGAGCTGTTGTAGGCTGCTTTTGGACCAGGGGGGTGTACAGTGGCTGTAGGTGAACGATGTTGAAACAGATTAAAATTAGTTGAAACAACTTAAAACAAATTTTGTCTTAAGTATCACAACAAATTGCAATTGCAAGTTGATCTAGTAATATTTGTTAAAGACTGTTTTGCCTGTGTGATTCTCAAAAGAGAAATAGTGCAGATTGATGTATTTTTTACTTAGCATAGTAAAACTTTTAAAAATTAGTTTGACTTTTTCTGGTTACTTTTCAGCTTTTTCTTTTTCAAAAGGTATACAACTTAAAAAAAATAGTTCAGAATTCGAAACATATTTCAGCAAGAGATGAAAAGTTCATAACATTTTGCATTCATAATAAACTCACGGACTATGTAAGCTTGGTCGTTTTCTTGGCTTTTTTCTTCAAACTTCAGTCACTTGTTTATGACTTAATACTAGGACCAGACAAAGATTTTTTTTTAAAACTCTTTTTAATATGAGAAAGTTGCGATAATACAAGGTTTATGACTGAATTTAATAAAAATTCTACACCAAGCTTTGTTAAAATTCGGAATATTGAGCCTCCTGTGAATTTATAGTTGGTAACAGTTTTACATACAAGGAAATATGTAATGTTTTAACACATCAGCAGCAAATTATTGTCAGCAGGTAATTTCAACAATTGCCCATTTCAAAGAAAGAATGACAAACTTGCCAAGTTGGTCAAGTCAGATCTTGGTAACTGTCAAAGCTCTTTTACGACTTTCTTCTGGCATTATTCCCAATAATCTGCCAATAATATAACTACTCTAGTAATATGACCGTGTTCTAATCATGGTGTGACTTTATTCTTTTAATTACATAAAATCAGTTGAGAGGTGTGGTACACCCTGGGCAGGTAGCTAGGCCATCAAATGTTAACACAGAAGCGACAATCGTACATGCACCTACACATAGACACTCACACCTAAGGGGAATTTATAGAGCCCTATTATCCAAAAGTCATGTTTTTGGGTTGTGGGAGAAACCCAAAGAGTACCCATACACAGAGAACACTTGCAAACTTCATGAGGAAAGATGCCAAGTAGGGGTTTGAATCCAGTATGTCCTTGCTGCAGCAGAGCAACAGTGTTACCAATTTATTAAAATGTTGACAAAATGACAAAATTATACACTGCCTGGACAAAAAAATGTATCTGTCTGGATGTAACTGAGAAAATAGTCACAAGCTTCCGACATGAGTGATTTCAGATGGCAACAAGTTATTTAACCCCAACTGATGCAATGAGTTATTTCTAAAACTTGGCGAGGCAGCACTGAAACATCCACTGTGGAAAAAAAAAAATATTGGTGTCATTGTTTTTTCTGGCTTGTGGCTTAAAATTGTTTTTTAATACAAAAAAAAAATCAATTGTATGAGTGTAACAAATAAATAAGCACAGATCATTAACAACACTTGACATGTCAAGTAAGTCAGCTCATGTTATAAATCAGTGGAGGTAAATGAACCAAAAAGGAGTGGTAAACCATATTCTCCAGCACAACGTTTGGATGGAGATTGAGGCAGAGCCATTTTATGCAACTTAACAACAGTTTTAAACAATAAAAACAAAACTAAATCATATTGGAGTGCATTTAGGATAAATTTGCATTCCTCTTTCTTGTTCATACTTCCAGGTAATCATGATTATCCTGTGTGGTGCACTAGCTGCACTAGTTAGTGCCAAGCTAGTGCACCACTAGCTTAGCACTAGTGCTGCAAAAATTACACTGAATATATCTCAATGTTGGTGAATGACACAGAATCAATTTATGATCGATTAACATGTTTATGCTTTGGGTTTGTAGCAATAAAAGACATGATTATTATAGGAAGCTAGAACTTAATGCTTGATGTGATGGTTTATTGTAAATGTACATAACTGCGTTTATCTTACTTAAACTGGGCTTTTACATAACATACTACTTGATTTTCACTAGTATTTTTAAAAGTAGGTTACATCTAAATAATCAACTGTCATTGCTGTGCCCCACAGATTTACCTGCAAGCCCCGTAAGCATCTGATGGATACCGACAAGTCCATGGAGACAGTGTCGGCTCCAAACCCTGCCCCCACTGCACCCCCTGATCCTGGACCGGTCTCTTTTCCTGCTCTCGGCTCCAGTCCAGCTTCAGATCATGTTCCCATCCAGGAGTCAGCAACAGTTGAAACGCCCAGTATCCCAGTGACCTCAGAGGTACACCCAGCTCCAGATATCACCCCAGTTCTTCCTGTAGACCCTGTTGGGACTTCCAAACCCATTCCAGGTTTTGAGCCATCTGCACTCCAGCAGGTCGAACCAGGTCCACCACCTCTTCCCCCAGCTGCTGCCAAGAACCCCAGCTGTAAGATCATGACTTTCAGGCCTACCATGGAGGAGTTTAAAGACTTTGCCCAATATATCGTGTACATGGAGAGTCAAGGAGCTCATCGTGCCGGCCTTGCAAAGGTAGTGCTGCCTAAAAACATTGTCTCGTCTCCACACCAAGGCTTTTTTAAAGTGCATTTCCAGTCTAAAGAATAATGTAGAAGGTCAGGTGGATATTAATTTTCTTCATATAACTACAAACCTTTCTTATCCATGTGCAGGTGATTCCCCCAGAGGGCTGGAAACCTCGGCAATCCTATGATACTATTGAAGACATGGTGATCCCAGCCCCCATCATGCAGGTGGTAACTGGTCAGTCTGGGCTGTTTACCCAATACAACATTCAGAAGAAATCCATGACTGTGGGTGAATATCGCAAGCTGGCCAACAGCAAAAAGTGAGTTGCTTTTGCTTTCGTTTTTGTAAGTTCGCCGTCATTTAAACCATTAAGGTAGCAGCATTTCTTGAAGTTAAAAGTTTCCTCTCCTACATGTACAAAAAAGTAACATGTCAAAGACCAGTGTTTGATACAGTGAAGAAAAATCTGTGGGATCCAATATTGTAGAGAAAAAAACTAAAACAAAAAATGGAAAGAAAATGAGAAATGAGAAAATGTAAGATTTGTTGGAATGTAAGTTGTAGGTGTTTATATATGTTTGTAGCAAAAGGGATAAAGTACTTGATTATGTAAAAATGACTTCCAATCATTTATGTCAACTATATCTTATTGAATGTTCATAAAAAATAGCAATACAATTTGGAAATGACTGTACTATATTTACTGCAATTGAAGATAAAAAACAGTGAATTTCCTTACATCTTTACATAAAATAATCTTTCATGAAGTGACTAGACATACATTTTCAAATGTAGGATACAAACAGAAATTAAATCAGCAAGTTGGTGCCCTTGAACAGTCTGCAAATCAAAATCATAAATGCATGGGGCAAAAAAAGTTCATATTTTTTTCTTTTTCAATTAAAATTGAAAAATAAAATAAAATAGGTTCTTCTGACCCAAAAATTTGGATTTACAAGATAGTCTATGAAAACGCTAGACTGGATTAAATCTACAGTCTTCAGTGAAAAGACCCAGTACTGAAAGTTTTTCTTGTCATACCCTTTTTAGTTATTCTTTTGTTTTAGAGACCAATAAACAAATTTTTTTTTGACTGACTTTTTACCTTTTTACCAATGGTCTACTTGTTGAAGGTTGAAAATATGTCAATAGCACCTTCTGGTGGTTCAAAGTAAGAATTATAAATTAAAATACTGAATTATTTTAATCAGATATGGTTTATTGCTGGCATGTGTATGAATGAATTTGTAAAGTGTTACTGTTAAAGGACCGATGCGCTCAGATTAAAAAAGAGCAGTGCTTTAGCTGAACTTGTCCTTCTCAGAAATAAGAAGGCTTATTTAACTAAATTTGTCCTGCCGCTCTTGTTTGGAAGTCATATTTAAAGTACCCCAAAATATAACCTATATCTAATACAACTGTTAGGCAGAGTGAAAAAGCTCAGATCAAAAATTCACAAGAGATTTAGAAAACAATTTTTTTTTTTTTTTCTGTTTTTCTCAGATATTGCACCCCACGCCACAAAGATTTTGATGACCTGGAGAGGAAGTACTGGAAGAACCTCACATTTGTGTCACCCATTTATGGGGCTGATGTCAGTGGCTCCATCTACGATGAGGTGAGGAGTAGTTTTGTCACTGCAATGTGCAAGAAGCAGCTAGTTTCATTTGGAAAGGCGAATAAGATGAACCTAAATGTGCCATTTAGTGTATTTTAGAAAGACCTGCAGATAATGACAATGTACCTGGTCTTAAATGTGAGAAGTTGTTTTCAGAATGTTTTTTTTAATACTAACTATTGATAAATAGTTCACTGACTCCCACTCACTCAAAAATGCAGAGAAATGCTCTTTAGTTTAGAGTTTATCCCCACCACTGCTGAGTTCTTAATATACAGTACAATGACCAGAGTATGACAACAAATGCATGACTGACACACATCTAATCATTAAAAACTAATAATGAAATGTATTCATTATTGTCCAGGGCATTCATGAGTGGAACATTGGCCACCTCAACACTCTGCTGGATATGGTAGAGCAGGAGTGCGGTATTGTCATTGAAGGAGTCAACACACCGTACCTTTATTTTGGCATGTGGAAGACCACCTTTGCCTGGCACACTGAGGACATGGACCTCTACAGCATCAACTACCTTCACTTTGGGCAGCCAAAGTCCTGGTCAGTCTTTATTGTTTTTAATCACACACATCTTCAGGGTTGTTTTTGTTTTTAGGATAATAGTGGTAAGAAAAGAAAAAGCTTAATTTTTCTTTTTTTTTTAAATAAGCCAGACTGCAAGCATCTGTGTTGCTCTGAGCATTTCATTGGCAGAGCAGAATTATTCCTAAAAAAGATGGGTTTATAGTTGATTAACAGACCACAAAGCCAGTCATGTCGCAGGTGCGTTACATCACACACTGAAGTCTGAAGTTTACTTCAACGCGGATCATGTGCGCCTCCTTTCACTCAAATTGGACACAGGCTGATTTGTATGGATATTTACATCTCAACACGGTGCTCAGCGTGAGACTCTGTGTCTGCGCAGATAAAGTTTATGTATGTGGCCCCCAATGGTGCGTTAGTGGTTAAGCAGTTTAGCTTGTGGAGGAGTTTTCGTGCTCGCCTCGTAGTCACGCATCACTCTGGTTTTATTTTTATTTTATTATTATTTTTATTACTATTTTGATGGTTACATGATGCATCAAACCATATCAAATGCTTTGACCACTTTGTCAGAGTTAATGCGTTTGGCCGCGTCCCATAAAGCTCAGGCAACCAAAACAGTTTCTTATTAAAAACTCAACAAACATGAAATGAAAAAAAAAAAAACTAAAACCACATTAACAGCATTAAATTCAATATCCCGTTTGTTGCGCATCTCTGTACCTCTGTGCAGTGCAGCGGAGTTAACTCATCATGAAGGGCCGGGCCAAGTTTGTATGAGACCGTGAGCAGAATGTATGGGCCCCTCTTCCTGCCAAAGAACATGAGCACCACTAACAGCATTTCAACATAGATTTAGTAAATTCTGGGAGAAGGGGGTAGTTCAGTTGGCCGACCTAAAAAGCAATCGGTGATGATTGTAGTTTACTGAGATGTGTTTGTGAACAAGCAGAGCTCAAACTCAAAGATTAAACTCAGCATCACCTTGTAGCTATGGTAACAAAACAATCTAATTATGAAGATTGTTCTTTGAACTTTTACAAAGTGAATTTGACAGCTCTTTAAAATCTTAAATTTAAATGTTATCCTTTAAAATGTTAAATGAAACCATTAAATCAAATTTAGTTGCTCTTTTAATGCAGAACACTGTGGATCACTGCTGGTGTTCCTCGGCACTCTCACAACTGGGCTTTGCTAGTTTTGTGGGGATATGTCCTGATTTTCATCACTGTTCTTCGTAAACTATTTTATACAGAAAATGTGTTGCTTTTGTTTAACTTCTCATTTCTGATTGTAAGGAAAGGCTGATTACCTTATTTTACTTGGCTAAGCCTACAAAACATTGACTGTCTTTCTCTGAAAAGACAGTCAATGTCTTTTGAAATCAAAAGACATTGTGAAATCAAAAGGAACAACTACCTTTTCTAGTCAGTCTTTGTTGTTCGACCTGCAGACTTTGTGATGGATGAAATCTCATAGTAAAAAACTGCACCACCTGGTGTTCATACTGTGCAATTATTTTCTTTTTCATTTTTTTTATTTTGTTCACTCAGTGATGCGTATGAAGAGTTCACGTAACACGTAAAATAAATCATGAATGAAAAGCAGCACAAATAAGTATATGATTAGAAAACATCCTTGTCAGACTCCAAACATTGTGACTTTCAAAATTCTGTATTCAGTCTGCAGTTATATCAGAAATGTCCCCATTGTGGAACAATAAAATATATTTATTTTCTATTCCATATTAAATTATGAAAGTGATTTATGCAAGTACTTTGCAGCAAAACACAGAAACAAGCTTAGAAGGAAGTACTTCTGTGTCAAATGGTGTGTCTTGTTGGTTGTATGTAAATCAGATAGGAAAGAAGAGATTCTGCTAAACAATTACTTATCAAAGTGAAATGTAATTATAGTTTTATTTAAAGTGTGATCAAATTAGAAACAGCAAAAAAATAATTTTCACGGCTTAGGTTGAGTTTGAAAGTAGGATTGTAGTTTTTGTTTTTTATTAACATAAACGCATGAGTACTTTATAAATTTGCTTGCTTATTTTTTCTTTTTTTTTAACTACGTGCAAATCACTGAGTTTATTAGACCAAAACAATTTTTTTTGTGAGTTTCTAATTACTTTTTGCAACCCATTAGGCAATCTGTAATAAAACTACACTGACTATAAATTTTAAATCTACAAATAGCTGAAATTAATCTTTGCAGTGCTAAGAAATGTGTCACTTTTTCATGATATAATTTTTTTCAAAAGGCAGAGTTCTGTGGTTTGCTGATGCAGAGCACCTGGCATTTGGTGCAGGTGGCAAAGAGAAACTCCTGGGAAATATGAGGGAAATTTAAAATATTTGTTATTACTCTTAACTATTAATCTCTGCATAGAAACTAGTTGATTTTGATGCTTTTTCATGGCTCTGTTAACCCGTTTGATGTAACATCATCCTAGAGCAGTAAACTTTTAAAACTATTTAGAAAGATAATTGAACCATCTGTAAAGTGCACTAAACCTCTGACATGCCAACCCCTGTTTATAGATCGGGTAGTTGCTGTGATGTTTGTGCTTGTATATTGCTTTCTATTCTTATATTTGGCTCAGGCTTTCTCAGACACATGAATGTTCCGGTTTCTTCACTGAAATAGCTTCTCTCTTTAGATTGTTTGTGTGTGTTTTTAAATCGTTTCCTTCCCCCCATGATGTTTTCCATCCTTGGCACTGCAGGAGGGAAACAAGGACGATCCAGCTTTCTGAATTACGGTGTTATCTGTGCGTGCATTTGTGCTTGTCTCCTGGCTTTCCTCCTCTTCCTTCTCTTTCCTCACAGTATGCTCTCCCCTTCCACACTGTCACCTCCTCCTATTTCTCCTGTCCTCGCCATCTCTTGTCCCCCTCCTGGTGTGTTGTAGGATGTCTGTTACAGTTTCCGCTGTGATGAGAACTCATTAAAATCATCGATTTCCATTTTCACAGCTCTCACTGTGCGTTTGCTATAGCTTGCTGTCAAGGTCTAAGCAAATGTGTATGATTAAAACAAGGTTTATGATGTGACTAAGAAGAAACTTTGACCTGATGCTAAGAGTTTTGCCAGATTTAGATTTCTCTTTAAAAAGTTTATAGGAAGCTATATACACAGTATTCATTATTTCCCATCATCCCTGCTGTGACCAGTCATTAATTATTATTAGGGGTGGAGGGCTGACTGTGAGAGTCAGAGTAAAAATATAACATTGCTTTTTTTTCTGTTGTCAAACAGAGACAAAATTATAGTTTCTCCAGTCTTAAAGTCTACAAAAGTATGTTCATTTGCCCATTTTTCATGTTTGGAGAGGTATGTGGTTTAAAGACATTGAAGACAAAAATCTAACAAAGATTTTGGATTTTTTACTTTTTACAAACAAACTAAAGAAACTGAAGTTCACAAAGTGTGCTTTAAAGAATATGTATTAGAGGATACGCTAAGTTCAAGATGAAGATTTTATACTTTTAAAGTACAAAATTTCCATTGCTGTGCTTCCTCTGGCTTTATTTCAACCACCTTTCTTACCCTCAAAATAGTTGACCTTAATTTTTCTTCACTTTGCTGCAACTTCCACACTGAAAAGTGTTGCCAAGTTGACATTACATATAATTCTTTGACTCAGAATTTAAAAAAAAAAAAAAAAAAAAAAAATATATATATATATATATATATAAAAATAAAAAAATTCCCTTCTCACCCACCGCGGGTGGTTCTTATCCTCTGCGCTCGGGTCCTCTACCAGAGGCCTGGGAGCTTGAGGGTTCTGCGCAGTATCTTGGCTGTGCCAAGGACTGCACATTTCTGGACTGAGATGTCTGATGTTGTTCCTGGGATCTGTTGTAGCCACTGCTCCAGTTTGGGGGTTACTGCCCCGAGGGCCCCGATGACCACAGGCACCACTGTGGTCTTCACCTTCCAGGCCCTCTCCAGTTCTTCCCTGAGGCCCTGGTATTTCTCTAGTTTCTCGTGCTCCTTTTTCCTGATGTTGCAATCACTTGGTATTGCTACATCTACCACAACGGCTTTCCTCTGATGTTTATCCACTACGACAATGTCTGGTTGGTTCGCCATTACCATTTTGTCTGTCTGGATCTGGAAGTCCCACAGGATCTTAGCTCTGGCGTTCTCCACCACCTTTGGGGGTGTTTCCCACTTTGATCTTGGGGTTTCCAGTCCATATTCTGCACAGATGTTTCTGTACACTATGCCTGCCACTTGGTTATGTCGCTCCATGTACGCTTTCCCTGCCAGTATCTTGCACCCTGCTGTGATGTGCTGGACTGTCTCAGGGGCTCCTTGCACAACCTACACCTTGGGTCTTGTCTGGTGTGGTAGATCTGGGCCTCTATTGCTCTGGTGTTTAGGGCCTGTTCCTGGGCTGCCAGGATGAGGGCCTCTGTGCTGTCCTTGAGTCCAGCTTTTTCCAGCCATTGGTAGGATTTACTGATATCAGCCACTTGGGTTATTTGCTGGTGGTACATCCCATGTAGGGGTTTGTCCTCCCATGATGGTATCTCTGGCACCTCAACCTCCGTTCCCTGTTGTCTGAGACATTCACTGAGCACATTGTCTGTTGAGGCTTTGTCCCTGATGTATTTATGGATCTTAGTTGTTTCGTCCTGGACAGTGGTTCTCACACTCACTAGTCCTCTGCCTCCTTCCTTGCGGCTCGTGTACATTCTCAAGGTGCTGGATTTGGGATGGAACCTCCATGCATTGTTAGTAGCTTTCTGGTCTTAATATCTGTGGCTTTTATCTCCTCCTTTGGCCAGCTAATTATTCCAGCAGGGTATCTGATTACTGGCAAGGCATAGCTGTTTATCGCACGGATTTTGTTCTTGCCATTGAGCTGGCTTCTCAGGACTTGCCTTATTCGTTGGAGGTATTTAGCTGTGGCTCCTTTCCTTGTGACCTCATCGAGGTTGCCATTTGCTTGTGGTATACCTAGGTACTTGTAACTGTCCTCTATGTCTGCTATTGTTCCTTCTG